GTGTTTGTATTGTGTGGAATAATTTACGGCATGAGTGCCTTTGAACACTCCTTCCATTGATACATAAATACTTCTGATGGAGGARAACACCCTCGGTGAACAAGACTAAAGAAATTACTAGATTTCGGTACTCCAAAATCACATGGGAAAAAAAAAAMCACAATAAAATCACAGATTCTTACGAATGAGTGCAATTAGTCTAAATAAGCCCGTATATTTTCAGCTTCTCTGTACTTATTAAAGAGAAATATGTTATATATGGGGAAAAAAAAAGTTTTTTCAGAATAAGCCATGTTATACCGAGCAAAATTACAGCGTGCACAGGGAAAGCTTTCACAGGAGAGAGCCTGAATGCCCCTGCCACTGCAGTGGAGGACGGGGGCTCTGCCAGCACGCTCGCCACAGCGCACACGGCTCCTCCTTGGCCAGCAGGGATGGTGGCAGCACCAGCGCTCTCCTCCCTGACGGCAGCTCCATTTACGCAGCAGTGCAGATGGCTAATTCAATATACACTAAATGCTGGAGTCAAACAGGGTAATTTAGACCCTTTTTTTTTGCCATGTTTTTACCCAATGAAGCAATTCATCAGCCTGCGGCACAGTTCAGGTGGCCAGGCCTGCTCAGTCATATATTTTACTGTTGAACAGAGGCTGCTTAAGTGAACAATAAGAGGATCTGTAAAGCAGGGGACTTCTCAGTCCCCTCTGTTTTTTATTAATTTTCTGCCAGTTCTCCTGTACTTTGATGGGTTTGTGTCTGAGTCACTTACTACTGTTTTGAACATGACTTGTCAAGCTTTTCGCTACTGTTTTCATCACTGCTCCCTTTATGCTTATGTGAATTTTTAAATATAGCATGTTATACTAGATACATAATATGTCCTTAGGTTGTATTTATGGGACATTTCTGAGCATCCCAGCTGACATTTGACCCGCTCTTGAGAACTATTTCTAGCATTTCATTCATAGCTTCATGCATCTACCATTTAACAAACAAACAAATTCCCTGCCACAGTACACTTCCTGCCTTCCTTGCAAATTCAAACTGTGCTCAACAATTGTCCTAATGTGGATTATATCATGGCCAATAACTGATCCTTATACTGCAGATATAAAAATTCGAAGCTGAAAAATGGCAGCTTGATATATGTGAGGTAATAGTGGTTAATAGACTTGGAGGTTTTGGTTTCAAGAACATTTTCCTTTCTAATGTACAAGCTGGTGTAACCGCTCCTGCCTGGAGCGGGGGTTCCGTGAGGCCCCTTCCTTCTTGCAGTGGAAGGACCTATTCCAAACCCAGCGAGTGCATGAGAGGCCACCACGGGATTGGGACCTGTCTCCAAAGGTGTGACAGGAGCTGGTGAAGGAAAGAAAGAGCAGGAGGAAAGACCCAAGGCGTGAGCCCGTGCAGGTAACATGCAGGGGAGAAAAGCAGCTCACGGCGCTGAGCACCCTGCGAGAGCCCTTTAGAAGCTAACGTGGATTTTTCCTCTTTGAACAGGGCTGAGAGTCTGGCCCTCGGCATCCGTGGAGTGCTGAAGCACAGACCTCTGCAGATCAGAAAGCTTTGTCACAAGAGCAGCTTTCACCTAAAATATTCCAAAACCGAGGGATGTCACAGTAAATTCTGCCTGCCTCGGAGCAGAACAATGGAAGGGACCCCAAAGAAAATAGGGAGGCTCCTGGCTTGAGATWCAAATTTGGTTCTCAACCTCAATTTTCCTTTCTTTAAATAACAAAAATATTTTTCAAAGAAGGAATCTCTTGGGCACTGTCATATTATGTCACCAAATAATTCATTAAAGAATGTTAGCTCTACTGCTGCTTTTTGAAGTGTCAGTGATTCCTTTGCCTGAAACTGCCTGTTATTCCCAAGGATGCAGGGAAGAAAAGGGTTCTCTTTGTGTTTTCCTTTCGGAGAACAATAGAGTAAAAATAATCCTTAATAATGAGATAACAATGAGAGAAGTCATTCTAAAGGATCCTAGCGTGCTGCAAAAGTACGTCAACATACATATTAGGGCAAGGCTCTGTTCCCTCCGCGTGCACAAATTGCTTGATTGCACTCACTGCCACAGTTTGTTTCCTAATATTCAGCATGACATTTCCTGTTTCTAGCCTTGGGCTTGAATGGGTTTGATCCAGCCCGCCCTGAAATTAATGGAAAGACTGTTGTTTCCCTCAGTGTGCCTTCCCTCTTACCTCTTCCTGCAGTCCACTGGCTGCTCCAGCAATTTCTCTCCCTTTCGTTTTGGCTGGCCTTCAAGAACATCCAAAACATCACACTTCTTGCTCTGCATGCGAGCAGCAAAGGAGGCAGAGATGAGATAAACTGTTCAGCCCAAATCCCTTCCCTGACAGGGGGTGCAGAGCCGTTCACGGGGCAGTGGTGCCGGGGATGGAAGGGGACCCTTTTCCGAGCMGACCACCAGCAGGTTTCCGAGCCTGCCCTGGCTGCTCCCGTCTCTCCGCAGTTGCCAGCACCAGCAGAGCCAGGAGCTGCACTGCCGCTCGCTGCGTTCAGCACGTGCTGCGAGGTGAGTTTTCAAGGTGCTGAAAGGATCCCATAGCCAGGCACAGTATAATGCCCCCTGCTCGGGGGGTATCTAGAGCATTCCTCTTTTGAGAATCCCAGTCATTTGAGGTAGTGGGAATACTGCTCCTTCCTTTCTTCACAGTCCTTAACCAAAGTCTAATCTCTCTGTGACTGGCCTGCTTTCCTCTGGGTCTGTGAGGGATTGCAAAAAGCCAGGGGAATACCTTCCCAGGCTCCTGATACTGAAACACATGCGGGTTTTTCTCCTTATGACAATCAATTGCCTTGCTGGTGCTATGGTATTTACTCATTATGGGCTGATACTTCTTTTTTGGTCTGGATTTTCCATTCAACTTACAGTTCTTTGAGGTCTGCAGCTTGCCACAGTGGCAGGCCTTGGCCCACAAGCATGTCCCTTCTGTCTAATTTCTTGCTCTTCCTACCACTGCTGTTTGCAGTAGCTAAGTACCCAACATACATACATTCATCTTGACAGYGAGTATTTTCACCGGGCTGCGATTAAAGCTTTCTGTGGGGACTATTTCTCTATCCAAGAAYGGCCTGACATATGCTTCCTTTTTTAGCAGTTTTCTTTGATAGAACRATAGCAACTCTAAGCAGTGCTTCAGCTTTGTCTTTGTAGTGTAACGGTGATTCAGAAAGCCTGTCCCAAGTTAAATCATCTAAATAGAGTGGTCAAAGTCGGGGCCACTATCTGAATGCAGAAAGCCTACGACATAAGGTCTGCTGATCTGACTCTTGCCATGGTGGGTGCAGGATTGGGAAGCCGCTGAGGAGTGGCTGGAACAGGATGTGTGCATTAACCTTTGCCTATCACCTGGTGCGTCTGTAGCGGCGAATAAGGGAAGACCAGGGATTAATCCCTGCCTACAGTTTCCACAGGCTGGATCATGTCCAGCCACCTCTGCTGTAGTCATTTATACAGCAGGTTGTCTTGGCCAAAGCTAGTTCATGTAGCCCAAGAGAAGMCAGTTAAAGAGCACAGACAACATGCAGTCAATGCTCAGGTTCACTCCTAGTCTGTACTTCATTCAAAGCACAGACAACCCAAATGCTGTATATATTTCCTCATCTTTGGGTTGTTTTTGCACATTCTCATATGAACCGCAAGTGTTTATCAGGTCTTTGATGTCATGTCATGATGGTAATGTCTGCCAAATGGTGACATCTCCAGGTTTCTTGAGACACATTTGAGCTTCCAAAGATGCTCTTGAGAGAACCTCTGTTCTCCGTGACGTGAGCTCTTTGAGCCAAGTCCTTTCACTATAATGCTATCTTACATACTCAGATCGTCTTGACAATTTGAGTATTCTATGGATACAGGTGGGAGTTCTCCTTTGGGATACTCAGCTCAGCAAAATGATAAATACAAGCATTTGTTTCATATGGTTTATTCTCAAATTCCTTTCAACCACATCTTTGACAATGGTAAATAATTGGCTTGATTGCTTTCTCTGCCTTGCTGTTATCTGTCTTTCTACCAATCTGAGGATCTCATATTTTGGTTCATTTGCTGTACTTTCATGACCTGGCTAAGAAGTCAGCTACATGTATCTAATTTCCTTGTTTAGCTGTGAAGCTCTAAGTTGCAGCATTGCAGTTTCAGCGTCACAGAGAGTTGCTAGCCATAACTCCTTAAAAATGCTCTCTAGTGATTTAATGTCATTTTCTACTTGAGTTGTTTTACATCCTCAGACTTAATGATGAAGCAACCCACAAGYATGCTCAATTGCAAGGCATATCTTCTTGGTTTGGGTATCTCCTGGTTCTGCTGCTGAAAATGAATTCAGCCCAAAAGCAAACAGCTGTCTCTGCTGTAGAAATTARTACTCCAAAACACAACTCACTCTGAAGTCACAACTTGTACGGTTGTCTTTTCAGTTATACTGCAGTGTTTTGGCATAAGCTCCCCTGTTCCCTGGTCATATGTAATGGTCATATCAGGTAACCCTGTCCATGCTGGGTTATTGCAGAAATTAGGGGATGATGTTGGGAAAGCAGTAGCAGCCAGTTTAGAAACCTGATATTTAGAATTTATCTGCAGACAAGACTGCATTGCTTTTACCACTTTATCACATAGTCCTCGTGAGATCAGCAAATGTCTGTGTATGACATGGCAGAAGATTGTATTTTACTGTGTTTTTAATTGATTTTTAATCTACTTCCTGAACTCTTTCAAAACAGGTTGTGGCCATGATCAGCTTCAGCTGTTGCCATGCTCTCTTGTTGGTGCTGCAGGAGGTCATAAGATACCTGCTGCTCCCAGTAAATCTACTAAATCTACTAATCAACTAATCCTATTTCTTTTGCTAACAGACATTGTACCTTTCTTCTGCACATGAGATCCTAAGTGTTTTTTCTGTATCTGCAGGAGGTCCAGATCCTTGCAAAGGAGCAGTCTGCCTTACCTGCCTGCTCCTGCCAGGTTTTGCTACTGTTTGCCATGAATCAAGTATCATTCTGCTGGGAATCGTTCTGCTTCTGCGAAACTGAGGATTGTTATTCAGGTAGGGATTTACTAATCAAGTCTAGYTGTATCCAATGTGCTGCTTGTCTATTTTTTCTTCATCCAGTCGTAGCATGGGGAAAACAGAAGCACACTCACCCAAGGGCTTCAGGGGCACCCCAAGGGTGCATATGAGCAAAGGCAGCTCAAGTATTCTCAAAGACCAACTCTTTTGAGTTCTCAAATGGAGGAAACACCGAAGCCAAGCAAAGCACAGGCCTGTGAACAGAAAGAGCATCCTCTTCATCAGGAAAAGTGTGCATGGGATAGATGCAGCAGCATATACACACAGAGGCAGCACGAGCTGCTTAAGGAAAGCTGCTTTTGCTGCCTGAGCTTGTACTGACGTTCGGGTAGTGACACCCACTGCAACCCTGTTGACCTCACCCATGACGTGAGGCACCTTAGATTTTATGATTGTGCCTCACCACTATATTTCTCTAGCTTGCTTTGTCTGAGTTTCTCCTCTCCAGTGATGCAGAGGAAACCTTGGTAGCATCACTTGTTAACTGGTGCTCTACCCCTTTTTTTTATTGATTTCCCAGATATTTGGTTGCTTGTTTCATTGGGCGGTGGCTTTTTCTGATGCTGTCTTGCATTTGCATCATGAGATTGTCTGAGCTTTACAGAAGCATTTCTTTTTCAGCTTTGCACAGCGCTAATGTGCATGCAAAATCCTACTCTTGGTCTCACTTCTTGGCTCTTTAACCTGTTATTTCATACTTCTCTTTTTTTTATCAGTACATTTTAACTCAGTGTTTTCTTTTGCTACAATTATTGTGTTCAAACTTCTTAGTAACCCTTTAACTATTATATTTCCTTTGGAATTTTATCTCCTCTTATTTGCCTTAAAATTGTATTCATATGTTTTTGCATTCACAATAGTGCATTTTTTTGTTTTCTCTGTCCTTCTTAGTAGACTAATAATTCTGTGTCTGTTCCATCTTACATCCTACCTTTACCTGGGACACTGTTTTTTGCCTGTCTATGTCTTCAGCTTTTGAAAACTTGTAGAGCATTTTTCACTTAAGTCTTTAAAAATCTTATATTTAAATTTAAGAATTGATAATCATGTGAATCTTGAGCTGATCGGCAAGATGTACATCTGCTCCAGTCTTGCATAAGCAGGTACTCTTTTCGGTAGAAATGCTCCTAGGAAGTTTTATGGTATTAGGGAACTRCAGTTGGGCTCTCACCAGCTTAATGCTGATATATCTCTTTCCATGTGCAGTTGCTTGGGTATCGCTACGAGCAGTGTGACTGGGTTTGTTTAGTTTGTTTAGTTTAGTTTGTTTGGCTTTTTTAGTTTCCTCTTCTGTCTGGCTTCACTGTATCTTACGTTTTCTTTCCATTGCAGTCTAGAGAATATCCAGGTGATGACCACAGCCTAGCAGCCTTGAGAGAGCCATGACAAAATATAACAAACAAAAACAGTCTGAAAAAAAAAAATCTCTCTCAGTTAGGAATAAAGCCCATTAGGGCACACCTTCATGTTAACAGTGCCAAGTAAATGGCCAACTCAACACTCTTGGAGGTGAGACCCAAGCAAAACAAGGGCAGTGGAGCTCAAACCAACAGCTCTGCCAAAGCACCCGTGGTGCTGCGGACGTGACGACAGCGTAAGGTGATGGTTTGTGGGAGCTTCTCACTGAATCATATCCGTCTGTAGGTGCCAAGCTGAGTGTGATACAGCAAAGAGGATGATGAGCATGCTGCTGGCTGGCTTGCCTTTTTTGTGAGGAGATARCAGCAGCAGGAGAGGCTCCTGTTAATAAGCTGAAAGCAAATTAGACTTGTTAACCCTTGCCTGAAATCTGGGCTACAAGTCAGGATGTTATTAAAAAAGAAATATGTCTAGTAGCACTGAAGCAATGCTTTAAATCCCTAGGCATGATACAGGGATGAGTTTATGGAGCAGAAGAGCGAGCACTGGAGTGCAGATGTYCTGTGTGAACAGAAAGGGGCAGATTTGGGAATGAAGGTGAGCCAGAGGGTGGATCTATACGAGAATCTGAGCCCCTGCATTAAAGTCGGAGACCACCAAACATTGCTTCACTGTCAGCAAATATCTGGAAGCTCACTGGCCAAATATGCCCTTTGCACCCTCCTAAGAGCTGGCACCCTCCGAGGATGCCTCTCTAGTGCTGCTGGGTGGCATCTCTGCAGGCTCCAGAGCAGGCGCTCCGCTCCTCTAGCCAGCTCATTAGCACATGTTTCTGCTAATGACACATAYCCAATCAGACCGTTCCCATATGACAGACCCCTGGGTTATTTTACCATCTTTAAAAAAAAAACACCGGGAAATCACACCCAAAAATAGATTGAAAGAACATTAGAAGCGCGAGGTCAGGCACCAAACTGTTGGGTAATGTCAGAATTTAGACTGTTCATATAACCTTATTTTAACCCTGTTAAATGAAAATAGTAGTCACAGGATTGTGTGGGGGTTTTCTTCCAGAGAATCCTGACTCACTTAGTGACATAATGGCTAAAAGGATTAATGAAAAAAATAAAAATCCTCTCCTCATTCTGTATGTGGCACTATGCAATATTCACTGTGCACAAATTCACCTCCACAATAAAAAGAGAATCATTAATATTCTTCAYGAGCTCCTGTAGCAGAGTCTTCTCAGAATATCTTTAATTCTTTACAGATAGTAATTCATTAACCGTGTGAGAAGATATTATTATCCCCATTTTATAGGGGAACTGAAGCACTGAAATCAGAGTCAAATTTTTCCCTAGGGTAATTTAAGGTACCCTGATGGTGTAAGTTATTTCTTAGAACATGGATACGTTTTAGATGCAGAGAATGTCTGTGCTAGTTGTGTGACTATGTTGGTGTGCCTTGGAGACGAACTGCGACAGACAAGGAAGTCTATTCTTATTTTTTTGATATTTCAAGACAATTCTTTGGAAAGTACATTCTCCTGGGAACCCGACGGCCCTACCTGGGTCTATTCTCTGGAAGAAGCTGGAGTGTATGAGTGCAGTTTATGAATATCTCTGCTATGAGATTGGTCTGCATAATAAACAAAGAAAGTTATACTTAGAATGAACTTGGCCTTTTTGCCCCAGATTTTTCCTACCTGGCCTTCCCACAATTCCKCTAGTGTGAGCAGAGGCTTAATACTGATATTAAAAACAGAACAACGATGAAACTTTAGGGCTCGATACTGTTCTTCGTTTCTATAAAATTATGTAACATAATATATGTACTTCCTCCTGTACCTTCAGTGTTGTCCCAGAAGAAGAATGAACACATTTCTTGGCTGGGTTACAGATACACGGCTCCTCCTAGTATTCTTCTCCCAGAGTCTCCTCACTACCATGAAGAAAAAGTAAAATTACTGACAGTCAGTATATTTTGTCAATTTTCACCAAGAGTTTTCAAATGTTTATTTAAGCTAAAGTAGGAGTTATTTTTTAGACTTTAATAGGATATAATGTTTAATAAGTCTAGATATACTGGAAGTTTTGAAGAGATGGATTTAATTATTTTATGTTTCTATTTCCGGATTTCCTCCGGTAACCCCGTGTGTGTGTTTTTCCCCATGACTGTGTATTAGCCACACAGAGTATAAGCTGACTTAGAGCTTATAAACCCAGAAATTTAACTTTCAGAAAAACGCACGATCCCATCTGAAGATGTAGCCTTGCAGTTTAGTACGTGGCTTGCTGCTTTGGGAAAATCTCTGAATTGTCTTCCACTTTGTTCTTCAGGTACATTCCAAAACAGYTATTAAAAATAAGATTGGTACAAGCCTACGCGTTTGAGATTAGCCCTTCTGTAGCCACAAGCAAGGTCTTTAACGTTGATTACTTACACCTATAATTGTCAGCCAGCTTCCTTTTCCTACCTGCTCTCCCGGATAGTCTATACACTGTGCGTAAGGCAAAGCTCTCTTCTAGCCCTGCCCAAACCCTTGCTGCAGCCGCAGCCTATTTGCACCGTTAACATCCAAGGGTGAGGAGMTCCCTCAGCCCCTGCTCTTCCCGTTCCAGGCTGTTGTTCCCACGTTCCAGCCYGTCTCTCCGGGAGCCGTATCCGCCACCTTAGCATCCCGCCGGAGTAATCGTCGGTGAGTCAGCACAACCCATTTAGCGCTCGTAAGCCGGATCGGCTCCCAAGAAACACAGTGGGATGTTTCAGGCAAATACTGTCAGCCTCTTAAAATACTGTAGGCAAGTTCTGATCTCCTTCTTCTTTTCCTCTACTGCTCTGTAATTATTATTATAATATCGCATACGTGCCATTCTATAGCTGGTAGCACATACACAAACGAAAGCAAAATGAATGGAAGCGTCACTGAGTTAATGAAGTAAAGAGGGAGGAAGAGAAGCGTGGTACAGTGTATAATGCAGTGAGGCCACTTAGTGATTATAGACATATAGTTCTGAGTGAACAATTTGAAGGTGATGTTTGAAGATCCTTTTCAAGGGTTACTGTATTCAAAAAGTTTGTGGGAAGAAAAAGACACCATAGAACTAAATAGATTTTGGGTCTTTTAAAATATAAGTTTCATATTGACTTTTTCAAATTATGGCTTGGAAAAAAACCAGCAAGTAGCRCTGATGTTTTTACATAGAGATGATCTAATTTTACCAACAGTAGCTTAAAACGACCAGCAAAACTGAACCACCCAACTGTTTTGTTCTACACAAAACTGTTTTTACATCTTCTTAGTACTGCAGAATAAGTTTTGTCTATCGAGATACTACTTTTCTGTTCAAACGACAGGTAGTATTTATTCAGTATACTGTCACGTTGAGCTCACGCTGATTTCTTGCCCGCTGAGAAGTGAGGCAGTGCGACCACCAATGTCCCATTTCATGACTGTGGCACCACATTCCCATGTRCCATTATTAATATAAAATTATTAATATAAAAAAAAATTGTAACCAGGCTCTGTAATTTTCTCAAGGGGAAGGGGGGAGCAAAAGGCTTGGCTTTTTTTGTTACTGTATAAGAAGACAGGAGTATAGGATAGGAAGGAACACTGTGAAAACTTGACACAAAATATCAATGAGTGCATGAGACTCYGCAGAATAAAGGTTTTGACTTTTCATGCTTTCCATAAAGGCTGAGTGGGAAGAAGTATTTTAATRGATGTGACTGCAAGAATTTGCTGAAGAAATATTTAAAGGTGAGGCTGGAAAAGGAGCAAGAAGCTTGACGTGGGGAGAAACGCCACGTAGGTGGAGCTGGGAGAAGACAGCATTACATGCTAAAGGCTTGGAGAAGCTAAGGAAGCAAGAGAAAGTAAAGAGCAGCTCCAGTGTTTCTCAGGTACATTTATTTGTGGTGGATACCCATCTGGCTGGAGGGATACCCGTCACATTTTCCAGATGAGTCCTAAAGGCTGGCATCCATATGGCCAGACCGTAGCAGGGGCCAAAGAAGACCTGTTCTGTAAGGGAGAGCTGCGACGCGCTCCTGCAGGCTGCAGCGGAGCCCTGAGCTAGGCAGGGTGTACAGACAGTCGCCACCAACCTGCTGCTCTTTAAGATCCTAGAGAGATCACAGTCCCCTAAAGGGCTTCATCCCTTGCTTGGTGACTTGCCCGTGCTCCGCTGCTGCCTCTGCACCTTGCTCCTCCTCAGCTGTGAGAGCTSAGAGCGCGGCGCGAGTTCACCAGCCCACAGCTCACGTGTGGCGCTGCCTCCGTCTGCTTGCACTGACGGCCTGGCTACCTGCTGGCTTCGCCCAGAAAAGGAGACTGGCTGGTTTTCTTTTTCTTTTTGTGCCATTTTGTTTTTAATTCACAGCAAGAGCATTCAAGGCTTCGGACAAGGATTTCCACTCATCTCCTTGATTGTTAAATTAAGTAAATGTATTTCCTTTATCTCTTGCTGGATGAACATCTGGTTCTTTGATTAAAAAAGAGGGGCTTAGGGGCATGGAAAAACACATTCTCCTAGAGCCAAGCACTGCTTCTGTACTGAGAAGAAAAACCTGAGCCATCTGCGGTCCAGAAAATCTCCAGTCTGGAAGACCTTAATCCTGCTCACCTTCCCAATGGAGGTTGATCTCTGCTCAGGAGCTCTGCTCTTCCAGAGCCACTGCCCGCCCCTGGCACGGCACCCTTGGAGGCACTGGCTCTTTGAAGTCAATGGCACCGGTGTACTCTACCTGGTATTTCTGGAAAGGTAGAGCTAGACCTCTGTATTTAACAGCCAAAAATGATATCTGGAGAAGGAGAGATAAATGGGAACTTTATGTGTTGCAAACCTGCATTACAGGTCTTGCTGCCATTTGAACATTTATTGTGTTCCTCTTTGTCTTACAGGTATCTTGTGTTCTGGCTGGAGCGTAGAGCATATGCTGCCATTTCTTCAGAGCTGGAGCAGAACCACTTCAGAAGCCTACAAGGTGCATGACAACCAGATGAGCTAGTCCCTAACACAGGAGCACCCCCGTTCCCGAGTAGGGTCGTGTTCGGAGCCCAGGACTGACGCTGGAGCACGTGGGGCTCTTCAGCAGGTGTCCGAGTGGAAGGAAACCCCTTGGGAAATGCAGTGAGGGGCTGCAGCCCGGCTGGGACGGCGAARGAGCAAGGTCTGCAGCAACCTTCAACTCTTGCCTCTTTACGCAGGTGATTCAAGGGCGGTAAAGCCCGTGCCTGTCTGTGCGTGTGCTTTTAATTGCACTAAAATAATGAAAAAGTATACTTCCCGTTATAAATCTTCCTGACAAAGTGATCTGAAATTCTCATTGCAGTTTGATGCAGAGATGGTATAAAACTATTGCTCAGGAAAAAAAATCTCCATACTTCATCCCTGCCACTTCCTCATAGCCCACTCCTGCCAATTTCAAGAATTATGGATAAAAAAGATGCCTAAGATGCCTCTTATAAAAGAAAAATAATCTACTTAAGCTTGTTCTTCTATTCATCTGTGATTTCGAGCCTCATGGAGATGCTTAATTCCCATATCCCACTTCTGGGCACCCCCGAAGACATTTCCCCTCCCATAATTAAAAAAAAAAAAAAAGTGACCGATTTAATTAATTTATTTTATTATTTTCTAACGGCCCCCAGGCCCCGACGGGTGCAGACACGAGCGCGGCCTGCCCACCGGCATTTGG